GATAGCTGTTCCTAATCCGTATACCCGTTCAACAGGTTATGAGCCCGGTGCAGAACAGCTATAGACATCAACGGTGAGTGAAGGCCCAATTGAGATTACTGAGCGAGCTGCTACTCCTGTGGCGAGGTACAGTCGTGTCATACTCAATTGTGGAACGTGAGCGAGTTGAATACTCTAGGGCTACAGAATCACAAGTCTGTGGATTCAAGAGCAGAGGTGTTAATCGCGTTACAGTTTATCCTGAGACTCGGAAATCAGCTTATTATAGCTCGTGAGTTAATTAACTCTATTAGGATTAACTAAGTATAATAGTAATTAACTAATATATTCCTTCTTCGCTTGAAAGTCTGTGATAATTAGAATATATATTCCTTTTATTTTAGTTAATTTAATTTTATACTAATTATTTTTTTATTTTATTATTAAAATAAATAATACTATAATAAAAAAATAACTAGGACTAATTCTTATATATACTAATTATAAATAATAGTTTAAATTCTTTACTTTTTACTTTTAAGCAAAAGAAATCTAGTTAGTATTAATATATATTAAAGTACTTATTAAGAAGGCGAATGTCACGTGTCACGTTGGAAGCAGACGACGAGTACGCGAGATCTTCGGAACTTATAAAAGGATGCGCATTAGCAAAGGAAGTGTAAGACATATTAAGAAAGAAATACACAAAGATAAGACCGTTAATAAATAGATACTACCTACAGTAGTACGTTAACTATCACAAGAAGCCTGAGGAGAGTATAGAAGATACGTGAATAGAGATTCAGCGCTTAAGAAGACGTATTAAAGCGACTAATGACTTACTCAAAATATTTACTATACAACACCAGATGTTCTAATAGCTTCTTGCTTCCCTTTCTCCGGAATATAACACTGTACAAGATGCTATTAATAGTCGGGAAGAGCTTCTCCTTAATGTTGAATCTCTTATGCAACGACTCCTTAAGAAAGAATCATTACTAAATAATACTCTTGTCGTCTTTAGGCAATATTGTTATTTATTAATAAGGTTCTAGTCATCCTCTAGCTAATAATTATCCTAAAGATCTATAACGTATAAACGCTACTTATACTCTTAAGAAGGCACAACCTTATCTTAAGAACGCTTACTATAATAGCTAAAATATTTTGCCTATTAAGGAAATCATAAATAGCAGAACTGCCCTTATATTAAGGAGCATATAGAAGAGATCAGGGAGAACACAAGAGGAATAAGCCGAAGGCGAGAGTAGTTAAGGAAGAGAGCACAAGTACAAAAGACTTCTCTTCTAACTCTAAAGGCAGAGCAGAAGTCTATCTTGCGGCATTAGAAAAGCTAACCTGTAAGACCCCTAAGTGGATTGCCGACACCAGTACATCTGACTATATGACTGACTAGCTTTCTCTCTTTAGAGGACCCCTAAGAAGAATTAAAGAAATAGTAGTAAATTTAGCAGACTTAAGGTTATATATTAGTGGGGCAGGATGTGCCTAGATACGTATAAAATGGGGAGTAATAACCCTGTCAAATATATTATATATACTTAATCTAAGTACTAGCTTTTTTTCTAGTTCTTTATTATATAAATCAGGGCTCTTAAGCAGTTTTGATAAGAAGGCCTTATATATATAAGATCAGAATAGTAATATAATTCTTAAAGCTGTCAGATATAAAGGTCTCTATATTTATTATTAACACAGACTATAGTTTATAGTGCCTCTTTTATGCCCTCTAATAATTATAGTTAGTAGTAAGCA